CGCGGCGGGAGTGTGTGTGTGTGTGGAGGTGCATCTCCTCGGTGCATCCCGGGTGCATCCAGCCAGAGCCAAGTGCATCTCATCCCGACAACATCTCCGACTTTCCCACACACGAGCCCGGGCGGCGGCGCCAGTAAGGGGTCCCCATCTGTCATGACGTACCATAGACAACGCGAGAGCGCCGCGTGTGGATTAAATGCAGCCAGATTTATAATGCAGCACTATTTTTTAGACAGTCCCCGAGACTGTCTCTACCATAGGGTATTTTTTTGTTATTATTATTCTATTCTCTCCCACTACTCTTGTTCCGTAATCACGCATGCCCGGCCTTTCTTACAAGCAACCTGCTCGCCCGCCCGGCGTGTGCGTCCGGAGCGCAATGAGATCACAGAAAGGGAAAGGGCAGCGGGAGGACGGACGGCCAAGGTCGGGCGGCGGCGGAGGAGGAGGAGGATGAGGCACTTTCTAACAAGTAGTATGACGATCGATCAGCTGGTCTCCAAAACAAGTCACACGCCACCGCCGTCCGAAAGAAGACACGCAAGTGCCATCAGACATCAACAAAATGGAAAATGTATGGCAAAGAAGTGATGAAGCTACGGCTGATAATTTGTCTGCCACTTTTCTTTCCAATTTAATTGCCTCATACGTTTCGCCGGGCGCATTGTTTAGGGTTTAGGGGCCGCGGAGTGCCACCCTATGGTGACCAAAGTGGGCTACGGGTGCTGCCTGCAAGCTCCAAGAATTATTTTTTTTAAATCAGGGAAAATCAGAAAAGAAATCAAGAAATAAAATGTAAAAATAATAATCAAGAGGAAGTAAGGAAAATAGTAAAGTCGGTGCACGCTTGAATTTATAGTAAAGTACACCGCGGCTGGGTGGGGCGCGTGGCGGCGGCGACCCGCGGTCCAAACAGGGATGACTCAGCGCGCGCGATCCGAGTGTAGTGCCTCCCTCCCGCGAGGTACATTGAGAAGCACACACTGCATGGTCGTACACGGCCGGCCGCCCCGCCCGCCCGGCACCCAGCCAACCCCATTCACGCCGCCAGAGACTTCCTAGAGAGACCCGATCTGTTTTGTGAGCCCCTAATGACGCGACGGCCGCGGTAACGATGGAACGAGGCAGCGGGCGGGGCCGCCGGGGGCCAGCAGCGTGACCCAATCAAACACATCATGAATGTGTGTATGTGCAATGTCAATTTCATTCTCCGATTCTTTTCTTTTATTTTTTTGTGAACTTTGGGGGGAAATTTACGAAAACACAAAAAGAAGCACTTTTTCATTCAAGGCGTTGGCACGCACGTTTAACACGACGTTTAGAAAATCGCCTCAGTGGGCTTTGTTAATTTAAGGAGACGGTACAACAAACTATAGTTCTACGGACAGGATGTAAGCAGGACAGTTTCTCTAACTTACTTATAGTCCGCCCGCGCTGTGCTCGGCAGCCATATTAGCGGGCACTCTTTTATTTTATTATTGCAACTTCAAACTTGACCCACTTCGTCGGCGCGCGTCCCCTCGGCTGGCCCGCCCGGCACGGCGGCGGCGGCGGCGGGGCCGAGACCCCTGCAGAGTGCACGCCGCCGC